GCCCCGCATGTTCGAACCGGCCAGCGGCACCGTGCAGCGCAGCATTGCAATACATACGCAGTCGCAGCAGAGGCTTCCCGATATGCCAGATGAGGTACCACAGCATGTTTGGCGTCGTCATATCGTTCGGGTACCGTGGATTCGGTACCGGCTGTATGTATACGGACGAGTATGATTGACTTCGGTCAGTTGTTGGCTCACCTTGACCACCTAGTGTACACCTACGAGTGCTACAACTGACGGCATTTATCCCATGCCCAAATGTTCGAAGCCCATGTCATACAGAGTTGGCTCACCGGGCGTAACACTTTATCACGTTTGTCGTCAAGTCGGTGAGTTGGTGGCTTATTCTTCTTCTTCTTCTTCTTCTTCCTCTTATAGGACCTGCTGCATATCTGTTGGTGAAATTGTTTCCTTGTGTTGGTATCAAGTTTACTATATGGCTCTCTAAACTTGCAGCTAACACTCAACAGTCAACACCTAACGACAGCGAAAAAAGTAAAACGTAGAAAATAATTCGGGGTCTTCACTACGATGTGTATGTGATCGGCGATCAACTTTCGTGGAAAAAGGGAAAAAGAACAAGATGACATGGAGATGGAGATGGAAGAAGCAATGACAAAAGTCCCGGAGAAGAGGACGACCCCTCCTTTGCTGACTTGCTCACCTCAGCTCTGTCAGTTCAGCTCATCTTCCCATCTCGGGAAGTCACTGGTAGAGTATAGGAATTCGCATTCCCTTCCCCTCCTCTCGACTCCTCTCGATTTACCTCTCGATAACCAAGTAAACCCTGCAAATCACCGGCATCCAGAGCCGCGACCTGTCAGTTTTTTTTGACTGGAGTTTCTGATCTCGGCTATCATCCAGTTCTTGCCAAGAATTGACGGACATGATGACCATTCCCATGCCATTTGCCTTCAGTTGTCAAATGCCAAACGGTACACACACATGCATAACATCAACCTCTTTTCGGTGGATTAGACTGACTAACTGGTGTTCATCATTTCCTCACGCATAAGGTTACTGTAGGTGATCACTGGACCCTGGGTTTCGTATACTTCATAGGTAAGTAAAGATTCCTTACATCGGTCCTACCTACTATGCAGTATTTTGGTTTCAGTATTGCATGAACTTCCCTCTCCCGCAACTGAATTCGCAAATGATGCCCGAAAAGCGGCATACATATTGGTACAGACGGCTTTTTCAAGTCGATGAAGGTTTGACTCACCTCTCCTCAAGTTTATGGTGTACACACCACTATCGTCACTATTATCATCATGTACTTTCTGAACCCCTCGCTCGGCACACCCTACCAGGCACTGAGGACAACAACCCTTTTGTCAAGATTTCGTGCTCTTGATCGAACGATAGGTCTCTCTTCTCGAAAGCCAAGCAAGTATGTGATGAACTGATCGAGGACGACGAAAAGGTTGCAGCCACCACCATTTTCTTTCACACCCATCACCACAATGACAATGATAAATGATGACTGGAATGATCGATCATGCAGGTCCAGGACAAAGTCGCGGGTACCTGCAACATCCGAGCCCCATCCCTTCCCCCCCCCTTAAGGTGATTTTGACAGCTCCAGCTGCAGATTTTGTGTTCCCACACTGCCACATAGGAACAGCGGGAATGTCTTCGCCGCTTCGGTTCTACGCCGCCAAGTATGGGGTTAATGTGGTGGGACAAGATGTGTTTTTGATCGTGAGCCTCATGCTGCACAAAAGGAGTGGTTTCTTTGGGTAAGGCTTCCATTTCGCAGCTACACTGAAGTTGACTGAAAATACCTGAAAGACCAGGTCGCAGAAAGGCGGTAAGGAGATAACTACCTATCGTGACCTGTGGTGGCATATCGTGGCCTATGGCTGGTGATGGAATTGGACTCGTGATTGATTGATGGGTACGTTAACCTGCTTCTGCTTTACTGCAGAGTACTCTGAATCATGTTGTCACACGGACATTTGCCCATA